GCGCCAAGTTCCAGCGCTTGCTGGGGGCCTCTATTGCCGAGATGTATTTTGATGTAGGCCCGCGGGGTCGTTTGGAGCAGCTCGAGGAGCTTATCCATGCTGCCGCCGCTCGTGTTCGTGACCTCGTCAAACACGAACTTGCGACCTCTCTGGGAATGAGGCAGCACTGGGCCTTGCGCGCTCTTCGGGGGTGGAGACCTGGGAAGGCATGGATGGTTCATCGTGCGATTCGCTGCTATCCCACGTTGCAGTCTCGCTTCTGCATGGCCACGTTTCAGCGCATCCAACTCGCCGGCCTGCGTGCCCTCATCCGCGTCAGTCAGATTCAGCTCCTGGATGAGGAAACCCGCGACGTTGAAGCCTCTTCTGCTCCACCCGAATTCAAAGCTTCGCATGCCTCACGTATCCATCGCATGCAGCAGTTGTGGCGTCGGAATCGCAGTCGTACCTATCTTACTTGTACTTACGATGAAGATGGCTTCCCGCGCGCGTCTGTTGACCGCTCCGCCGAGGTTCTCAAGGACTATCGGGCCCGCACCTTTGCCTCCCCGTCTCTGGGCCCCTCCTCCTGGCTTGAAATCGACGCCTTCATTCAGACTGTCCCTTCCCCTTTTATCTCAGGTCTAGAGTGCGCAGTATGCCTGGTGAGGATGGGCTACCTGATGGTGTTTGGAAGGTTCCAGATGCCTCTCGTTTGCTTTACGTTGTCTACCTCGCCCTCTTCACAGGTGAGATGTTGGAACTTCCGGTTGAGATGGGACGGGGTTTCATGGTGTTCTTCCGCAAAGGGCTAGATACTCGGGACCAGACCGATCACATTGTGCGTCGCCCGAGTTGCTCGCGCCCGCTGAGCGTGTCGAATTATGACATAAAGCTCCTCTCTGGCCCCATGTGCTGCACGCTCACCTCGAACGCGAGTTCGCTCATCCCCCCTTCCCAGGAATGCGTTGCTGGTCGTGACATGCCATCCAACGTTGTCGACGCCGAAGGATGGGGGTTGGAACGACACATTCTCGTCAGAAAACATGCGCGTCTCTTTCTCGCGGACTTCTGCGCCGCCGTCTCGTCTTTAGCGATCCCGTGGCTCCTACGCGTGCTTGAGCGGATGGGGGTCTGCAGCCACGTCTGCCCATTTTTCCGAAGGCTGCGCGTTGCCGCCGCGCGCTCGGACGGGGAGAGTTATGGTGAACTCTCCATGGAGAGGGGGCTCAAGCAGGGACGTCCTAGCAGCGTGCTCCTCTTTGCGCTCGAAGTCGACCCGATCCTTCGCTGGCTTTCGTGTCCCTTCACATTGACAGGCTGTTCGCCTGCGCCGATGACTTCTGTTTCGGGATCGTTGACATCCAACACTCGCTTGGCCCCCCCCTCTCCTTGCTGCGTCACATCGGAAAAATTTGCGGGGCGTCAACTCAACATTCGGAAGTGCCAGATCGTTGTTGTTGGCTCCCTGGACCTCGACCTTCCGACGAACTCCGTTCGGACTCTGAAGGGGAACTACAGGGTGATTCAGGTTCTCGAGGCTGTAATTTAACTAGGCATCTTTATTTGCCGTGGTGCCGACTCCATGGCGTGGACCGAGGCTTTGCCCAAGTTTCAGCAGCGCGCGCGGCTCTTTCGGCAACCGGGCCTGGGCCTAACCCGCTCCGTCGTGGCCTTCAAGATTACGCGCTCGTCCACCCTCTCCTTTATCATGCAGCTTCACCCTGTCGCCCACGCTCTAGCCCATGCCTACCGCGAAGCTGTCATGTATTTGTCTGCTGGTCCACGGGATGCTTTCTCCTATGGCCTCTGTGCGCAACTTGCTTCTTTTCGCACTCCCGTGGGGTTCCCTGCCATCCACGCGCTGCGAGAGCCATTTGTCTTCGGCGCATGATTCCTCACGCGTCCTCTGGGGCCCTTGTCGCGCACTTGGAGGCGCTCTCGGAGGACCCCGATCGCGCGATAGCTAGGATGCTGTGCGGGTGGTGGATGTAATCCTTCATCTCATACGTGCGTAAGCTCTATCACTGGCATTTCCTCCGCCGCGAACCCCGCCCCACCATTCTGACCTCCATCGGATCTCGGGGCCCCGCAAGTCCCTTCAGCGTCAACTCTACACAACGTTTTGGGATAGTGCCGCCTACCGTGAACATCCTAGACAATTTCTTGACGCTTCGCGTATCCCGCCAGTTTTGGCATTGCGCCCCATTGCCGTTGATTGACACGCCCTCTGGACTTTTCCTTGCGGGCCGCCGAACGAAAAGTATCCCCACCAGCCCATCCAGAAACTACGTCCAGGCAAGTTGAAGAGATCAGGGAAGTGGGGGAGAAACGAGAGGGACGGCCGATCCTTGCAAAGGATGAGGCGGAAGAGGAGGCCAGATGGATGGATGAGGGGGTGGCGAGGAATCGAGCAAAGGAGGGATGAGGAGAATGATGACGCTGGGTGGATGGTTGAATGCCGCTCGGATGCCTGTTGGAAGCCTTTTGGAAGCCCCTTCGGGCGTCTTGGGGGTCTCTTGGCGGTCAATGGGGGCTCTTGGGCGTCTTGGGTGCTTCGGGGGGGCCTCTTGACGCCGCTTGGGATCCTCTTGGGGGGCTATTGGGGGCCTGTTGGAGGCCTCTTGGGGCCTCTTGGGGGTCTCTTGGAGCCTCATGGCGGCCTCTTGGAGCCTCTTGGAGGCCTTTCGGAACCATCCTGGCAGCCTCTTGGAGCCTTTTGGGGGCTTCTTGGGGGCTTCCTCGCCGAGGCCGTTTTGGACGCTCTAACTACCAGCGCCCCTCCCCGTCCAAGTCCAGGGGAGGGGGTTACGGGGAGGGGTAAACCCCTTCCCGAAGGGGAAGGAGGGAACATGGAAGAGGAAATTCCATAAACCACTTACGCCGAGAGGGGTGGTGGGATTCTCCTTCGGCGGGTTCTCAAATGGTTCCCTCAGGCCACGGAGGCCACGATTGATCAGTTCTGCGTGAATGCCCACTTTGTGACACGTCGGACGCAGCACTACTTCGTGGTTGCTCCACTTCGCGTGCTCACGCAGGCAGTCTGTACCTCGTCGCGCTTCCATACTGCTCCTCAAGGTTGCCTAATGGGGTGCCCACCTGGCCCTGGCGTAGATCTTGATTCGGTTGATCAATATGTGCGTTGCCCTCGCCTCCTTCGCCTTTTCTTTCATTGGTTGGGACATGTTCTTATTTCGTCGTCGTTTATGTTTGAGGGATATCCCTGGCTCTCCTCCCCCTGCTGTTTTCTCCCTCGCCATGCTCGTCAAACGTTATGTTTGCTGCCTGTGTCGATGCCTTTCTCGCTGCTGATGCCTTTCTCGCTGCTCACTCTGCCAGGAGAAAGGGCCCCCCCGGCTCCCCTGAGGAGCACTTCGAGGCGAGCCTTCGCGTCACCTCCCGACGTCATATTTTTCTCGCCCGGTCGTGGCGGGCCCAGGCGGCTGCGCAGTTCCCCCTCCTTCCTCTGCCCCTTCTCCCTCTAGTGCGCGTGCTTTGACGGACCATGCGAGTCCAAGACCGAGGAGGGCCCCTGCCCGTCGGGGGCGCTGGCTCGAGGGGGCCTCGCAGGCGCTTAAGTTCCTACATTTTTGTCGCCTGCGTCCCCCCTTCCTGCCGGCTGTGGGTCGAGGCAGGGGCTTTCCTCCTCCCCTCCTCCTGTGCGGAGTGTGAATGCTGCACCTGGATGTCGGCCCTTCGTCCGTGGCCGTGCCCTCCAGGACCGCTCGTGGGGCCGTTGGGTTTCGTCTCGCGCCCCGTCCTCCGTGGGCGCCGCTCGCCTCTCTAGCGATGGCGAGAAGACGAGTTTGCAGTCTTCAGTGCATGCTGAGTCGACGCATGTATGGCACGGCGGTATCACCGCTCCTGGAGCTAAATTGTTCGTTCCAGGAGTGCCCCCCGCGGAGCAGACCCGAGGCGCGCCGAGCCACGACGAGTCCAAGAAAACATAAAAACACACGGAGGAAGGAGGACCCATTGGGAGGACTTGTTGGACACAGTCGACCCAGAGTGGCAATTTTCAGTGGACCAGGGCTCACAGTGTTGGCGTCGAAGCCAGAATGTATTATTTCTGGCAATCGGTGATCACGTTGGTTTGAATATGAAGCATTTTCTCTTCGCGCTGGCGTCTATGCTGACCGCCTCAAGGAACGGGGGGAAGCGGAGGGCACAAATTGAACACTTCGACGCGCAACATTGGCACTTGCTTCGATATATGCCTGGTGGTATTGCGCAGTGCTCGGCAACAGATCTTTGTGTAGGGCGCACCCGCACAATGCAGTTTGTTACGGATAGCCAAATCTTGGCGTATGTTCTTCCGGGCAGGGCGAAGCATGAAGAGCGCACCCACGCCCTCACAGATCCCGACGAAAATGGCGGACACTTCACTAACTACGAATTGGTGGCCAAGGGATGCAACAGGCGACCCAATCATATGGAGACGGAGGGATTCCAACAAAGAAACCGACTTTGTTTGAATTGGGCATTGGACGCGGAGGACGATTTCTGGTATCATAGTGGTCCCAAGAATACGACCGATTCGGATTTCAGATTGTTGGGTGGAGCGATGGGGGATGTCGCAACGAACGACCTGTATCTTCATACGCATGGACTCTCAAGGGCCAGCGCGCTGATTCCTCAATTGTGGTCGTCGCGTTGGGCCACCACGGGCGCCCCTGGAGCCGCGCACCAAAGGTCACTTTAACCCAGGGTCACTCCTACGCGCAGTCGACGCTAAATAAGGCATGTCCCCAACAAGGACGGGACCACGAAAACAACACACTTTTTGGTGGGACCAGCTGCGATTGTGAACCAACGTTTCACCACGAACCCGCGTCCTTTCTTAAATCTTGCATACATTAAATTCGGGCTTCCACGGGCAAAGTCCAACCACAATAAAGTTTAGCATATTACACGCACGTGTATTTACACACAGGTCACTTCCCCTCTTATCATTATCATCCCTTCCCTCCTTTTCCTCCTCGCCATCTTCGCCCTCCCCCTCGTCCTGCCTGGTTGTCCAGGTTGTGGACAGGGACGGGGCCGCCATCTGCGATTACTTTGCCGACTGGTGCCTTAAGGTCGCCTCCTTTCCACGCGGAATGCAAAGCCTGCGAGGTTGAAGCGGGGACGGACATACGTCACAGGACAGAGGCGGAGGGGGATGGGCAGGGAAGAGAGGGGGAATGTGATGGGTGGGAGAGGAGAGGGCCGAATGGGGAGGGCAGAAGGGGAAAGGAACAGGGGGGAAAGGCGGTGGATATAACCGACCAGATTGAGAGGTGGGGGGTGGAGCCAAAAGGAAAGAGCGAGGACGGAAGTGAGCAGAGACACGGGAGTGGGGGAACCGTTTTTTTGTTGTTTTCCGTCGTTGCCACGTGTTTATCGCAAGGTGTCTTGTTATTAGTTTCTCCTCTTTCTGTCCCGCTTCTTTTTCCTTACCATCCCCCCTCACTCCCCCTCTCCCCTTCCCTTCTCCCCCGTGCCCTCCCTGACCATCCCCTCCGCCCTCGACCTTCCATTCATCTGCGATTTCTCTCCATCACCCGTGCATTTCACCCCTGCTTCCTTCCGCCCCCTCCCCTCCCACTGCTCATCCGTTGTTTCTTGTCTTTTGTTGTCCCACTCCTCTTCATGTCCGTCCTTCTACAGTTCCGTTTCCTCTTCTTCTTTTTGTTGTGTTTTTTTTCAGTCGTATCTATCTCTCGTTTTGTCTCTCTCTCTCTCTCTCTCTCTCTTTATTTGCTTCTCTTTCTCTGCATCCCTCTCTCCCCGTCTTTCCCTCTCTCTCTCTCGCTCGTTCTCGCTCTCGTTTGTTGTTGTTGTTGTTGTTGTTGTTGGTGTTGGTGTTGGTGTTGGTGTTGGTGTTGTTGGTGTTGTTGTTGTTGTTGTTGTTGTTGTTGTTGTTGTTGTTGTTGTTGTTGTTGTTGTTGTGGTTGTTCTCTCTCTTTCTTTCTCGCATGTGCAGCGTGTACCAGACATGGACTCCCTCTTCCCCCGCTTACCCTCAGCCGCCCATTCCTCCCAGAGCGGCGCCTGGGCACAGGTCAAGGGCGGGCCTCTCGAGGTCTTCCGGGCCATGGACTCGGACGAGTCCTTGTCGTTGACGCCTCAGGAGACGGCGATGGCAGGAGGTCAGCTGGGGCGGCGGGATGATTACGGTGAAGATGCTGACGTAAAAATTGGTTTGGGCTCTTGATGGGGCTCGGGTTTTCGGGCTGTTTCTTAGATGTTTGTCGTGGGTTTTGTTCGTGGCCTGGGCACGCCGTGGCCAGAACAACCCTTCGCTCCTTACTATGCATTCCGTGTTATAGCACGCATGATGACTGTACGGGAACCCCTGAGCCACGACAGAAATCAGACGGCTGTTTTTGTTCAAGCTCTGGGCTCCAGAGGCGCGCCTCTGGGCCCTAGGGCCGTCGAGAACGGCTCTGGGTGGAACGCTGGTCGCGGGAAACGGTCAGAAAAAACATGCCATCGGATCGGATGTTGCCGAGGGTGTCCTTGGCCGAGTTTCAGTACCCCGGACGAGACCGATCGGCCGGGCATGGTTTTCAGCGACGCTGGGCGGCAACGGCGTGGTGGAGTGCTTCATTTTTGAGCAGAAGTGTCCGCCGCTCTTGCCGGCGAAGCTACTCGCCGGCCTCGAGTGCGCAATCGACTTTGCGGGCAACGTGCTGGTCGTGAATGACGTTGTCTTGCGTCGTCGCGTGCGGGTGCCCCTGGTGACGTGCCCCTCCGGCCACCGCTCCGTGGACCTTATGCAACGCCCGGTCGCGCTCTTCAAGGCCTCGCCTGAAATCGAGAAGCGGATGCCCAGGGCGCGCATCTTGAAGGGCCGCCGCCCGGCCGCCAGCTTCGTAGCCTGCTGTGCCTCTGCCGCCTGCGCTCGCAGTGTATCGCTCCGGGCGGCTGATCAAGAAAATCGGTTTCGACTTGAGCGGGCTCCGCGAGGTTACGAATAAGGAGGTGATGTGGTCAGGGGCTCCGGAGAATCCAGACCAGATGGTGGTCTGGGAAGAGATGCCGGACCAGGGCCGCCAGGAAAACCCGGACTTGGAGGCGACGCTCGACCTGGCGGCGATGACGAATGTGTAAGAGCAGGACTTTACTCCGGCCGCATGCTGCTGCCGACGGTGGTGCACCACTGGCGCCGCGTGGCCACCTGTCTCATTTGGCACGTGACGACCTACGCCCAGACGATGCTGGCCTCCTTAAGAGATGCCGAACCTTCGCAACCCGTCCGGGCGTGTCGACCGGGACGATCGCCCTCGCCCGTTTCGCGCGCGTTCCGAGTCGGAGAACCAGCACGGGAAATATGCCAAGCGCATGACGTGCACAGTTCGGGCGCGGCACGTGCGTTTCACGGAAGAGGAGAAGATCGAGAGGGCAAATCGCAGGTTCGAGATCGAGAGGGCCAAGGCTCAGAGGAGGAAGGCCCGGGGGCACATCAGGGCGATGAAGGCGGAGTCGAAGGAGCTGGTGAAAAGCTTCGGCGGAGGCGACCGCTGGACGGGAGATGCAGCAAGTTCTGGCAGACATGATCACAGTCAACGAGCCGCAGCACGTCGCGAACGACAGGGCGTTCTCTAGCATCAGCCGCGCGGTCCAGGAGCAGGGCGACCGCATGGAGACTGCGCTTCACCAGATGGGCTCGCGGCCACTTCCCCTGACGGGCGAGGGCCTGTAGAGGCTGGCGCATCTGGCGCAGCGCATTGCTTCGAGCCCGGCGCCGAGCCCAGCCTGGGCCCCACTGATCGGCGGCCGTGCGATTTCTGAAGCCGAGGAGGATCCGAAGCGGCTTTTCAGCAGGGGAAGCTAGGAGTCAGGCGCGCCTCGCACAGGGGCGCTTTCGTCAAGGATCTCGGGGACACAATGCATCGCTTTAGGGGGCGATAGTGCTTTTGAACAGCATCCAGGAACATCCTGGGAATCTGGGGCGAGGGGGCCGATATCGGGTCCTTTCCGGTTTGGGCGTGTGCCGGCCTGAGGGCCAGCCCACTCGGGTTCTGACTTTTTCCGAGCGCCGCGAGTTATTCGCCGCGGTCGCGATCGAGGCCTGCGGCGGCCAGGCCCCGCCCCCCCCCTTGGCCCCGATTGTTAGAGATCAAAGGACCTCAGGGTGCCCCCTTCTTTCCAAGGGCGGCGGGCGGCCTCGGGTTCTCGCGAGATCTCGGACGCCGTGCGAGCGTCCTGCGCATAGATGAGCTGCTCGTCGCGTTCTGGCGCGAGGAGTTTTTCGGCGGCGGCCTCGAGTGGCCCGGTCGAGATCGCGCCCGCGCCCCCGCCCGCCCCCCGGAAGGCCCGAGAGGGCGCGGCGCGGGCCAAGGGCGGCCCAGGCTTCGGGAAGGGCCGCCAGGCCCAGCGCGAGATCACCAGGGACAGGGAAAAGAGTAGAGGAGGAGCAGTAGTCTTAGATCTGTTCAGTCCAGCTAAGGTCTCGGCCGAGCTCGATTGCCGCGGGCTTGGGCCCCCCCGACAGTGGACATCTTAGTCGGGGCGGATCTGCTCTCGCGCGAGGGCAAGGCGCGGCTGCGGCGCCAGCTTGAGGAGGACGCCCCCCTCTTATCGTGCTGACGACGCCGATGCGCAAAGCGTTCCCAGCACCTCGCGCCTCCAGCGGGGGGCGGGCGGGCCCTGTTCTCGAAGCGCGGTGGGAAGAGAGAGGTCTGCGTGGGGATACCTGAGTTTCAGGTTTCGAAGGGGCGCTTCTTCGCGCATCTTCGCGCGGGAACGCCCCGCCTCAGCGAGCTCGTGGAAGCTCGAGTCGACTCGCCGCGTCCTGGGCCTTCCCGGAGTCGGCCGCGAGAGCCTGAGTCAACGCGCGCGCGCTGACTGATTGTTTACGTGGGGTGGGGGGGGGGGGGGGCTCTCCAAGAATGATTTCTCTATCATGTCGAACTCGCTTCCCTGTCTCGCCCGCTGCAAGAAGCGCTGCCCAGGGGGCCGCCCGCGCGCCCGCCTTGTCGGCCTCGCAGGAGCCGGCGCGGCGGAGATGTCCACGGGGGAGCTAGTGATGGGCCTCTCGACCAGGGTTGAGGATGCCGCGCGGACCAGAGCCCCCGCCGGCGCGCTCGCTCCTCCGACGAGGTTTCTTCGGGGGGGGGCAAGTGGGCCTTCCCGCTCGAGGGGCGCGACCCCGAGCCATCTGGGGCCGAGTCCCAGTCTGCGCACCTCCGACCCCAGTTTCTGGCCCCTTGGCCCCGAATCTTCGGTTCTCTCTGACGATCCCGAGAAGGAAGTGGCTCGCCTTCACGTCAATCTGGGGTGCGCCCAGGATGGGGACTTTCTTTTAGAGCGTTCCGAGTGGCCAGGGCTCGCCCCGAGGTTTTGACTCGGGTTCGATACCATTTCAAGTGCGACCAGCGTCTTTCGTATTCGCGTGCGAGCTGGAGGAGGGCCCCCGCGCCTGCGCCTTTGACGAATGGTGGCGTTGGATCTTTTGAACAGTTGATGTTTTGGGTGAGGCCACCCCCGTCCTCGACGTGACTGACCATGGCGCGACTTTCCAGCGGCGCTGTCTCCTCGCCGACGACGCTGCGACATCTTTCTAGGCTGTCTTCTCGCGGTGGCTGCCGCGGCCTTTCGGGCCCCCCGAGATGATCGTGACTGGTGGGGGGCGGGGGGGGGGTCGAAGCCGCGTTTGCGCGCGGGCGCAAGCGAATCGTCATTCTGCACCTCGTCGCCCCTGCGAGCTCTCCTCATCAAAACGGGAAGTGCGAGCGTCGCGGTAGAATCGTCGATGACGCTCTCTCGATGGCAGCCCTCGCCGCGAGCCCAGCGTCGGCGGAAGATCCCGACCTCGTGCTGTGAGAGGCCATGGCGACAGAGAACCGTGGTTTCCATTGGGGAGGGCGCTTGCCCTCGCAATTCGTTCTTGGGCAGAACACCCCGATCCCCTGCCCCTCCTGTCGGGCGACCCCCTCGACTTGATAGGGTCCGAAGACGCCCGCGGACATGGGTGCAGCTGCAGGGGCCTTTACGAGACAGCATCGGATCGGGGGCGAGGTGCGTCGTGCCCTCGCGGCTTTGGACGCCGAGTCCAGGTTGGCCGGGGTCTCCAAGACACGCATGCGCAGCGATCGCGAGTTTCGCCCAGGTGACTGGGTTTATGCTTATGGGCGCATCACAGCCGCCAACAGATCGCTCGCCGCAGCGCGATCGCTGGATGGGCCCAGGCGCAGTGATATACCACGCCGGCGGCACAGTAGTCCGTTGCACGGCTGAGCAGGTCCGCCCGCCGCCCCGATCGGAATCTTTTCGTCGCCGAGCTGCTCGAGAGCTGCGCCTTCGATGAACTTCGCGAGGAGGTGCGGGGCCCCGGGTGGCGAAGCGGGGCCGTCGACGCGGCGGTGGAGGGCCCCCCTCTCCCGGGGCCCTTCGACGCCCCGGACGCCGCGGCGATGCCCCGAGGAGAGCCCTCGGCGAGGACGCTGCCGCTCAAATTTTCGGCGCCCCCGGAGCCCCGTCAGTCTCTGCCCCGCCTCTCCAGGCAGGCGTTGGAGGATGCCGGGCCACCTTCCGCCCAGACCAGTTCTTATACGCCGGCCGAGTTTTTTTCCGTCGAGCCGGCGGCCCCGCCCCCGGCCCCCTTCGGAGGCCGGCCAGACTTCGAGGTCGCGGCCGAGTTCCGCGAGGGGTTCGGAAGGGCCCGGGCCCGAGGGCCGAATGGCCAGCGGGGCCTTGGCTCCCCGGAGTTCTCGCCCCGAGCAGCTCAGGTTGACCCCCGTCGAAGAGTTCGCGGAGTCGCGACCGTCGGTCCAGAGCCAGACCCAAGAGCGCGATCGAGGCTCGCGGGCTCGAGCAGGCCCCGCCCGAGGCCGGGCCTTTGCGTCCGGCTGCGCAGGCCGCTTCCGCGTCGGAGCCCGCCGCTTCGGCAGCTGATGTCCCCGTGCCTGCTGCCCGTCGCTTGGGCTCTGGCCGTGAGATTTCTGCGCTTCGCGCCGGGCCCCCCAGCCGGGCGCCGCCGTCTGCCCCCGATCGAGAGGGCCCCAGGGACCGACGCAGGCCCCCCGAGGGAGACAGGTCGGCTTTCCTGGCCGACGAGACCGCGGAGGCCGGCGAGGAGATGAAGCGGGCGGCGGCGAAGATCTGCGGCCCGGGCGGGATGAGGGC